ATGGAGCTATATTGCAACAGAAGCAGATTACGAGTGCGATTGGATTTGGTGGCCAGACTTTGTACTTCAGCCCTCAACCCAATGTTTGGTTCATTAAGGTTCAGCTATATGGAGCAGGGAGGATTCTTTCACTCGCAGAGGTTCAAGCTGTAGGCTTTGTCCAGTGATAATACACCCGGAGAAGGACAAGAGAACATAATTTGGTTTGATGTAACCCCAACAGTTATTTCAACGCAGTGCTCGATAGGGTTGCAGTTGCTCTGATCCTTATACTAAGGACGGTCGCGAGTTTAGTTTGATACCCCTCAAGTGGATCGGACACAAATTATGTTAAGTGGTGGGTGCTCTTGAGTAAATTCGGAAATGGCATCTACAACTCTGAAGTGTAGCCCTGATGATATACACACAATTCTGGTTAAGAGCCCTTGCCAAGAAAGACCGAAACTAGCGCTTTCTATCACAAACTATGTTATTCTATTGTATTTTTGCATGGATCTTGAGCGTTCTGTACTGCTAGTACCATCGCGTAGCTTCTTCACTTCTCTTCTTGTACCTAGGATTAAAGACGCAGTCGAGGTCCCTCAATCTTTCTACCCTTTCTCTCGTAATGCTGGACCTTTTGTTTTGGCTCCATACACGAAACTGTTGTCTCTGGCACTTCACCATACACCCTAGAGATCGAGCGACAGACATGAGTATATGAGTTATCAAATGCACCATCGTCAAGAGAAGTCTTCGATGTCACTTACGAACGACTGATTCCTCGGGTAACTCTTCGGGACGCGGCTGGGCCCGTGCTCCAGACGAAAATGTTGTAGTCGCTCTTACCTTTCGTTCCATGCCGCGGCATGAGAATCCCAAACAAACCCTAGTTTTTTCGACATTACTTGGCGCTCCTCGGTCAAGGTGGTGTGCCGACCTTCCATCTTCGAATAGTCCAACGTAGACCGCAGGCACACTATTCGATTTCTTTGACTACATTGTGTTACAGACGGACAAAGGCCGAACGGCCTTCGACCGTCAAAAGTTGTTGTCGATGCGCCCAGGCAATGATGCCCAGTTTATCGACTGAGATTGAATTCACCCAC